GCCAACGGTCCCTCCACCAGCCTGGGGAAGCCACCTTGCCCCTCCTTGGCACCTGGCTCCAAGGCTCTCATCCTGGGGGCGGGGGGGGAGCTCTCTGGTTTTGAATTTGGGAACTCCAGGGTGTGGGTTGAGGGGGTTAGGTGGGTGGGGAGATGGGAGCATCAGGTAACTCCACACCTTTAGAGTTAGCTCAAGTTCCAAGAATGCACCAAACCATTTCTAGTGCAACCAGCACTGTGTGGAATTGGAAAGTGAAGCCGTGTGCAGGGCGGCCCACCCACTCAGACTTGGAGTCTCCTGACCTGTTGTCTTGAGGGCCTCCTACCAGCCCCTGGGTTCAACCCAGAGCCTGCTTCCTTGTTTTCAGTGGATCAGTTAATAAAACCCAGAGCCTAGGAAGGCTGAAGCTCTGGTGTTCGCTCCCGACTGGCTTTTCTGTATGTTGGGGAGGGAGGAACAGGGGATAAACCCTGAGGGCCCCTTTTGAGGTCCGTCAAGTTCTTCCATTGCCCTTCCCAAACCCCGAAGCAAACATTAATCCTACTTTGGGAAGAAGCTTCTCTGCCCGCAGGGCCCGGTTTTTGGATGATGTCGAATGACAGGACTAGCCCCCAGGCCTCCAGGCTGCATGCACTTGGCTGCCACTGCAGAAGTCTTGCAGCGGCTCTGAACGGAACCAGCTAGTCCGAGATGGCACCCAGGGCCGTGGTGGCCTCCTCCTGCCACCACTTAGGAAGACAAGCAGCAGCCTCTGCCCTCCACTTGGACACAGAACGTTTTTTTCCTGTTTGCAGTCCGCCTCCCGCCGAGTGGGCCTCTCCTGTGCCAACTGCCAGACCACGACCACCACGTTGTGGCGCCGCAATGCTGAGGGTGAGCCCGTGTGCAACGCCTGTGGTCTCTACATGAAGCTCCACGGGGTGAGTGGACTCTGAGCCTGCCTCACGCACGCCCCACCCACTCCCGCTATGCCCCGCCCATGCCCCACCCACTCCTGCTATGCTCCACCCACTCCTGGTATGCCCTGCCCACGCCCCACCCACTCCCGTTATGCCCCGCCCATTCCCCCACCCTCTCCTGCTATGCTCCACCCACTCCCGTTATGCCCCGCCCATGCCCCACCCACTCCTGTTATGCCCCGCCCATGCCCCACCCTCTCCTGCTATGCTCCACCCACACCCCATCTCCTGCCATGCCCTGTCCACATGCCAACATGCCCCGCCCAACGCTGCCATCTTGCGGGGACTCTGGAAGGACTAGGAGGTGTCCAGGATCTTTCATTCCCATCACTAAATTTTCACTCTTCTTTCCTTCAGACTAGACTTTTTGTTTTTAATTTTTGTTTTTCGTTCTTAAATTTAAAAAAAGAAAGACTTACATGGGAAAGGAATCTTCGCCACTGTGCTGGTCTCATTCAGTTTTCACATTTTAATTCCCATTTTACAGATGAGACTATATATAGTAGCAGGAAACAAAGGTGATGTTTCTGCTCAGTGGAAAAAATGTTAGCTTGTGTAAGGATAAGTGTTTGGGGCTGAGTGTGGAGGCCCACGCCTGTAATCCCAGTTACTGAGGCGGCTGAGGCGGGAGGCTGGCAAATTGCAGCTCAGCCTGGGCAGTGTAGTGAGACTGTCTCAAAATAAAATAAAACAGGCTAGGGATGTTGCTCAGTGGCAGATTGCCTTTGAGTCCAATCCCCAGTCCCTGGAGAAAACACAAATAGAACAAGTGTTTGGGGTTGGGGTGTACCACTGTGGTAGAGCGCTTGACTCACTTGCACAAGCCCCGGGGGTTGAATCCCCGATACAGGCCAGGTGGAATGGGGGGGGATTGACTATTAATTTGGAAAACAAAAGCAAAACATGACTTCCACTTGTGCTTTAAACAAAAATAAATTTAGGTGATATAAAGATACCAAATGTAGAACATCTTTGTAAGAAAATGAAAATATTGAACAACAAAATATTGTAGTGAAAATACTAGAAAAATAAAATAAATACAACAAAAATGCCAGATAATAAAACTAAAGAAATGGAAGAGGAGGTATTATGTAACATTGGGCATGGAAGAAGAATTCCTTAAGCAAGTTTTTAAAACTCTTAAGTATTTAATTGTTAAACATTTAATATTAGTGTATGGAAAATGACGCCTAAAGAAAGTAAAAACTGATATGCACATAATATTTCTTCAACATAAAAAGTTCCTGTGAAGCTCCTTATGTTCTGATTTGGGACAATTTCCATTATATAACATTGAGTTTTTTTGTTGTTTTGATTTTTAAGGCAGTGTGCAGAGCACTGTACATGGTATGGCACCATTTTTATAAATGAAGAGGAAAACATCATTTATATGTAGGTGCTTATAATATGTACAGTACTTCTGGAAGAATACATAAGAAATTGGTGACTCTGGAGGCTGAGGCAGGAGGATGGAAAATTCAAGACCAGTCTTGGCAAATTAGCGAGACCCTGTCTCAAAACTAAAAAAGGATTGGGGATGTAGTTCAGTGGTAAAGCACTCCGGGGAATCAATCCCCAGTACTGAAAGCAAAAAAATCAAAGAAAAGAAAAAGGAAGAAAGTAAAATAAATAAATTGCATCATGGGGTACTCCAAGAAAAGAAATGGGTAACAGGGTAGTGAAGTGGAGCACAGTGGTAGAACATTTCTTAGTATGCGCAGGGCCCTGGGTTCCATCCACAGCACCACAGGAGGAGGAAGAAGCAGGGTAAAGAGGGAAGAAGGGAGGAGAAAGGGAGGAGAGCAGGTGGAAAAGGGGAGGGGAAGAAGGAGAAACGGGTTTAGAACCAGGGTTAGGGGAACATTATTTTCACTGTACACTCTGTACCTTTTACATGATCTACGTACAGATCTTTCTTGTTCAAAGGTAAACTAAAACAAAACAAAACAAAAAATAGAGCCTACAGCCTAAGAAAAGTACAGTTGGTCTTCCCCCTACTGTGCTAGACGGACAAAGGGCACAGAAAACTCACAGGAGCCAGCCAGCTAGCCATGGAACATGCACACATGCCAGGCCCACTGGGAACCAGGCAGTGTAAACTAAGGCAACCTGAGATCCCACCTTGGGCAACAATGGATGGTAAAAGCTACTGCTGGTGTGAATCTGAGGAAACAGGCACGCTCATGTATTGTTGATTCATATGTGAACTGCTGCACCTGTTCTTTAGGAAGCTAACCTAGCAACACTGGTTCAGGTTGAAAACACTCGAACCTTTGCACATAGCTGCTCCACTGTTGGGAAAACAGCTTACAAAAAAATCAAAGAACCACTACATGATAACATTTGAACCATTCATTGCTGTCTTCTTTGTAGTGGCAAAAACTAGTTTAAAAACTTCAGAGCCCCATAAAGAATGATTGAATAAATTATGGGACACCCTATAATGAGCAATATTGGGTAGAAATGTAAAGATAATAAAGCCACGTACCTTGATCTGTAAAATGAAAACACACACTGCAAGTATTATGTATAGCATGACCCCATATTATAGGGGCTGGGGGACGATCTATGACCTCGCAGATAGAGATGGTGGAAGGGGCCAGTGGCTGTGGAGGCCCAGGAGGTGATGGGGGGGGACGACACCTGCCTGCTGTGACCCCAGGTCACATAGGTTGTTGTCTCTCTCTCATAGCCGGTCCATGTTCGTGTCTTTGCAGTGGTACTTGCTTTTCTTTCCATGTCTGCAGGTGTGGCCTTTATTAGTTCTACGTGGCAGATGAGCATAGAGTAGACCAGGGATAGCAGATTGGTCTTGGCTTCAGAGAGAGCAGATGTGGGGAAGGCACAGGATCTAAAGATACTGGAAAGGTGCCCTTGGGCCTTTGCTAGCCCAGAACACTTGCTTAGGCCCCTGTGAGGGCTCAAGGGTGTGACTCTACCAGTCATGGCTTGCTCCAGCACCAGGAGCTTTTTTAAAGAGGGAGGGAGGGAAGGGGAGGGAGAGAGAGAGAGAATTTTTTTTTAAATATTTATATTTTAGTTTTCAGCAGACACAACATCTTTGTTTGTATGTGGTGCTGAGGATCGTACCTGGGCTGCACGCATGCCAGGCAAGCGCACTACCGCTTGAGCCACATCCCCAGCCCCTGGTGCTGTCCTCGCACAGTTCTTGGGGACCTGGCCATAGCATTGTCTCTCTGGTGTCACTTGTGCACTCCCCTCCACCCGTGTAGTCCATCACCAGCTCCAGTAGGACTGCAGGGCAGAGCTAGTGTGACGGGTGCCCGTGTCTCCACTCCACCCCAGCTCGGTCTGTTTTCTTGGTGTCATTATTACTAGCATCCCTTCCTATTTCTGCAGTGTCCTGGTGGGATGACCAAGGCTTTTGGACATTCCATTCCTGCTGCCTAAAACACCTGCCCTAGTGCCTCCTGGGTGTCACATTCTCAGTGAAGCCCTCCTCGATAACCTCATGCCTCTCTTCTCCAACCCAGGACACAATATACTGTTTCCTCTGTTTTCCCACGTCACTAACAGGGTCCGGTGGTTTTTCCGCATCTCTCTTTCCCACTAAATGGAACTTCTGGTGGGAGGGAACTGTGTCATTTTCTAGTTCTCCAGGGTCTAGCAAAATACCCACCATATAACATTAAATTTTTTTTTTCTGATGCTGGGGATCAAATCCAGGGCTTCCTGCGTGCGAGGTAAGCACTCTACCCCAGGCTGCAGCCCTCAGTGTGCTTTTAAAAGTAGATTTGATTCCTTTCTCCGAGGAGTCCCAGGGGCCTGGGTGCCCAGCCTGGGTTTGCAGAAGGTTGCTTAGGTGTCACCTTCCTGCACTGCAAGGGTATGCAAATGGGAAGCCACATGTATTGACTTGTGACCCCCTAGGTCCCCAGGCCTCTCGCGATGCGGAAAGAGGGGATTCAAACCAGAAAACGGAAGCCCAAGAACCTGAATAAATCCAAGACGGCAGCAGGTGAGGCACAGAGCTCTGCTGGGTGAAGGGCCAGGAGTCCCGGGGTGTGTGAGGAGCACCTCTCCTGGGTCAGGCCGGGCCAGCCTGGGCTGCCAAGGGGTGTGACAGCCCCACTCATCCTTGGCTCTGGAGCACACAATGAATAAAGTTGCCATGGTACACAGTGGGAGCTTTCGGAGCTGGCTCAACTCTAGCTGGGGTCTGATGGCCATCAACTGCGATGGCCAGTGGGACCAGTGGAGGGCCCGAGGCAGAGAGGAGCATGTCGCTTGGTTCCTTTGTCTTTGGTGCTATGGCCAGCCCAGAACTCAATCCCTTTAGCTTCCTGAGAAGGACCAGGATCCTCTTAGTCTCTTTCTCTACATATTGATCTATGTCTAGGTGTCATTATGTCACCTGGTGCTTTGTACTTCAGGAAGCTCTTTTGTCAATAGTGTCTCAGTGATCCACTCGGGATCCCAGAGAAACTGTTTATTAACGCCATCTTTCTAAGGAGCCCACAGACTCAGAGAGGCACCGACTTAGCCAGAGTGACACCACAGCTATTCATGGGTAGGACTGAAATTAAAGCCTAAGTCTTCACACAGCAGGGTTAATAGTCCGTTCGATATAACATTCCGCCTCTTAATTCCTAAATTAGCAAGGAGGGTCACTAATGTCCCCTGTGCAGGCATTCCCTACGCCACATGGCTACCAAGTTAAGGATCTGACAGGTCAGTGCTGCAGTTGCAGAGAAGATAAATTGGCTGATATGAGGAGGAGCTTCTCTTCTCTTCTGCAGCATGACAGTCGGATAAATTACCATTTCCCCCACCGAGGACATGATGGGAATTCTACTTTCTAGATTCACCATTGGCTCACTCCTTCTGGCCGAGATACTTCCTGTTGAATCCCCTGCCTCACACCCGTGGTCCCCCGCCGTGTCTCCCTCCTCCCTGCTGCCTGGAGCTGCAGCCCTGCCCCGGCATCACCTCCCTTCCTCGCACGCAGCCACATGGGCACAGCAAGCGTTCAGTTCAGCCATAAAATCCCCTCTCCAAATTCCAGACCCAGGAAGACGGGTTTGGCCGTTGGACCTACCCTGAACCCACACAGGGCCATTTATCCTGATCAGTACGACTGTTCGCGTTTTACTGTAGCGAAATTAATGAATCTGATTGTGGGTCATTGTCCCAGATGCCTCTGGAGACAGTCTATAGTATACGGTGTTTGCACTTTTAGAAATCCAGATCTGAAATTCTAAAACACATGTGGCCTCAAGGATACGGGATGTGGGGGGAGAGGACGAGCTTGTCATTTGGAAGAGTCCCCTTGGAATAGGACACTTCTGCTCCATTTTGAGAATGGTGCCCTCCACTGATATGGACCCCAGCTTCTCCCCCTGGCAAATGTAAATAAAGCCATTAGCAGAGACTGTCCGGCTCTCTCAAAGGGCCACTCTCCCAGTTCCCTGCCCTGAGCTGTGCCTCCTGGCTCCGCCCTGTTCTAGGTCCTTCCGGCAGTGAGAGCCTTCCTCCCACCAGCAGTGCCTCCAGCAGCTCCAGCAGCACCACCACCACCAACAGCGAGGAGATGCGCCCCATCAAGACAGAGCCCGGCTTGTCATCTCACTATGGGCACAGCAGCTCCATGTCCCAGGTACCCTGTGGGCGGGGCGGCAGGGCTGCACGGGGGAGTGGACTCCAGACCTGGGTGCAGCATGAGCTGCCCCCAGACCTGCAGACGGCCAGCAGGAGCAGCCCCTATGGGGCTACCAAAGCCCTGCCCCGAGCCCTCCGATGGCTTATCAAGCCACAGCGTTTGGATACAGCTGTAGCACACACAGCTGGCCCTCTGTGCCATGGCCTTTGGAGACAAGGAGAAGGTGCCCAGATGCTGGCACCCAGATGGGAAAGGACGACCCTGCTGGCTGGGCACAGGCTGGGAAGCTGCAGAGGGCAGGGTGGGTGCAGACATCAGGCAGGGTGCTGTTTTCACAAGGTCCCTCTTTGGGTTTTTTGGTACTGGAGATGCCACTTAGCAGTGCTTGTTCCCCTGGGCCACATCCCAGCCCTTCTTGTTTTGAGAGACAGGGCCTTACCAAGTTGCTTAGAGCCTCGCTAAGTTCCTGAGGCTGGCCTCGAGCTCTCAGTCCTCCTTTCTCAGCCTCTTGAGTTACTGGGGTCACAGGCACATGCTGCTCAGGCCAGGTTTCTCCTTGGATGACATGATGGGGTCAGTGTGTCCCAGCCTACCTTGACCAGTCCCTACTCTGGTCCCCATGAGCCCTCAGGCACATCCCCCTGGCCTCATGGTGCTTTCTGCCTTGCAGACCTTCTCCGTCAGTGCTGTGTCTGGCCACGGGCCCTCCATCCACCCGGTCCTCTCTGCCCTGAAGCTCTCCCCACAAGGCTACGCATCTCCTGTCAGCCAGTCACCACAGGCCAGCTCCAAGCAGGACTCTTGGAACAGTCTGGTCTTGGCTGAGAGTCACGGGGACATAATCACTGCCTAATCTCTCCTCCTTCCCTCCTCAAATTCCTGCACGGCCCTGGGACCTGGGGCCCCCTCTGCCTGGGAAGGACTCCAGAGCAACTGGGAAGAAACTTGAAGTCGACAATTGGTTCTGAGAAGTGGGAGTTGGATTTTCTCAGATGCCTTTTCAAGGTGGGGTCTGGAAAGAGCCCACTCTCTGCACTCTGACACAGACTAGCCCACCCTTCACGGCAGGCACAATAAGTCTCTTCCATGGAGTTGGCGACTTCTTTCTCATTCCCTGTCCCACCTGGCCCCGCCCCTGACAGAGACAAGATGTCCCTCTCCCCTGCTTCCCAATGCTGTGGCCCAAAGTGGTGGCTTTACCATTGTGTTCCCAGCACTGGGGCTCTACGGGCAGCTGATGGGGCAGGGCTCTGGGACTCCCGCTGCAGCCTGAACAGGGCAACTGCTTGATGTGTATTGAATGTGACAGGCCCCTTTGGGCAGCCTCAGCCCTTGCCCAACACTCCCCTTGAGGCACTGCACATCCCTGCATCCCCATGGCTGATCTGAGTCCAGTAGCACTGGGTGCTGTGCAGAGGTGACTGAACGCATCCCGGGAAATGGAAGAGAGACCTGCACCCCTGCACCGCGTGGCGTCATCAGATAGCCGTTGGGCAGTGCTGCCGTCCCCAGTCCATTCCCTGCTGAGGGCTCTGCTCCTTCTCTTCTCCCACCAGGGCCTGTGACATAGAAATCCCTTCTGCTGTCCTGAGCGATCCAGCTCTGTCTTCAGCCCAGTCATGCCTCTCCTTTGTCAAAACGAGAGCTCAGTAGTGTAGCCGAAGGGCAGACCTCAGCATCCTCCGTTCACCGCATCCACGCAGAGGGGTACTGAGAAGGGACAGAGGTCCTGCTGCTAAACTAACTGGCGAACACTCATCCTCGAGGTCCTCCCGGGAGTGCACCTGGGGGGGGCGTCCTGCTCGGGACTCCAGCTTGCTTGCTCTCTGAGCCTGTGGACGGTGGCCTGGCCAAGTCACCAGCACCTGGACCTGCATTCTTTCCCTGGCAGGAACCTTCTGTCTGGGAGATGAGAAGCTAGAGAGTTTGCAAGATCAACACAAAGCAAACAACAAAACTGGCCGAAAGAAAGACGATGGCTATAAGAAGACTCGGAGGGTGGGCCCTGAAGGGACATGCAGCTCCCAGCTGTTCTGGATTGGCCTCCTCCGGCCACGCTGGGCTCCCAAAGACTTCCTCCCTGTCCTCGTTATCCGCAGAGCCGCCGCTGACTGTGGCCTCACTCCGTCCACCCCAGACTCCCAGCCCACCCCAGCCCTCCTGGCTGTAGCAGAGTACCTTTGAACCAAGATTCTGTTTTAATCATCATTTAACACTTTTCCTCCCTGAAGGCTGCCCCTCCATTCCCTCCTGACCCACCAACCTGATAACGTTGTCTTAAGGTGGAATGGCTGTAAAATCAGTATTTAACTAATAAATTTATCTGTGTCCCTCTTGCCCTCTCCCCCCAGGCTCTTTATGGGAGGGCCCCTGCTGTTTTCCTTTTCAGGGGAGCACAAGGGCCTCAGGTGATCCACTCCCAGCTGCTTCCACCCAGTGTCTTTCACCTGTGTTGGCCGCAGGGGCCAAGGGTGCTGTCCCAATCCTGGTACTAACAGGCGGTCTGGCTGCAGTGTCCTAGGGCAGGGCTGGACCAGCTGATAACCCAAGCTCCTCCGTCTTCACCTTCTTAGGGGACAACAGTTGTCACCCTGGTCATAGGGGCGCTGTTAGAGCCCCTCAGACCCTGGGAGAGCGGGTGCGCTCCCTAGCACCATCCTCCTGGACTCAGCTGTGTCTTAGAGGGGAGCCCTGAGAGCTCCTGCCGTCCACTGCTCTTCCTGGGGGGGCTCTTCCTCGGGAAGGGGGGGGTGTGATCCAAACAGGCCCCAAGAGGGCAAATGGCGCATGCCGAGAGGAGACTGAAGCATTGCCGGCTCTGTCCAGGTGGCCTCCTCCTTTGGCAGTGGGATTGTTTTTTCATCTTACCAGTGTGTGGGGAGGGGAGAAAGGTTCCCAGGCCACCCGATTCAGCCCCCTAGGGAGGGGATGGCCACGCAGATGGCCATCAGAATGGTCCTACATCTCACCTGGCTTTTGCCAAACCTCCTGGGCAGTTGGAATCATTTAACTTTTCATAGCAACCTAAATATTTTCCA